GAGCATGTCCTTGAACTTGAGTCCCAAGTGGCAAATACAACAAATTGTTTATTTTCATCAAATTCGAACATGTGTTCTGTACGACCTCTTCGGTTTAAGACATAGCAAAGAAAAACATAGAATACAAGTGAAAGCATGTCCAAGTTATCACATTTTAAACAAACAAGATGGCCGCCAGTCGATCATATTGGATCAAATTGCAAATTAAATTGATATGTACATGTATTTATTTATGACATGCTTAATATCAATGACAATGATACATGGTGACAGAGATATAGTAATATGGCTATGGTCATAGACATGTATTCTAACATGTATAAAGTATGTGCCAAATTTGAATGAAAACTGAATTTGAATGTCCAAGGTACCACTCATAAAAAAACAAAAACAAGTTGGCTGCCAGTCGACCATTTTGAATCGTATCGCTAAACCACTGCATGTGCATATGTCCCACATAAAGTACTAGGCACATGCAAAGAATGAATGGAATCAGTCCAAAGGATTCTGAAATATGACTCAGGACGGACACACGAATGGAGACAGAATTATAAGTCCCTGTTTTCGGACTTCTATTAGACACAATTTAGAAATCATTATTTTTTCAAAAATGTTGATCAAGTGTTATAGACTAAGAAATACTAATTTGGTTAATATAATTTAACAAAGAAACAATACATATTTGCAGAATGTTGTACCAAAATGACAACATTCAAACAGTTAAAATGACTATTAAAATTGAAATCATGACATTCCTCCCTATTTTGCTGAATGGTTTAGCCCTAATTAATATCAACACTGTCCCTTTAATATGGTAAAACAACAGAACAGTTCTAGTAGATATGTTATTAATTCATTGAAAATGTTAACACTGAAATTATTTAACAAAAAGTTAAACATTGATAAACAATGCTGAAAAAATCCAAAAAAAAAATGGAAATTACAGAATTCTTCATTGTAATATAAAATTGAAATAAGAAGTAATTACCAAGCAGCCTCTTGGTTGAGACAGCTCTGCTGTTAGCAATGCACATTTCAATTAAAGAAGATATCATCAACAAATCTGAGATAGGTCTACCTGAGATACCGATATGTATAATATCAAAGCAATCAGCCTTGCTTTTTTTAATCAAGAAGTCAGAATTAGGCAGAGGGTTCTCCAAACTCGCCTGTTCACATAGTTCATACCAACCATAGACTCAGGTCAGTCAAAATGACTAATTTAAACTGTAGGCATTAATCAGGGATTCTGCCAATGACGGAGAGATAAAATCTAGGTCAGGGGAGGCCCCATGACACCAAGATTGTTTTCTCTTACGTCACGAACCATGTGACCGAGGTAATGTGGCACGCCATCTTACCCTGTAATTCACATTTCTCTTCATACCGAGGACTAGACCAACACTACGGAAGGAGTAGAGTGATTGGGGGTACCCAGAGTTCATGGTGGGTATGAACTATGTGAATACCGGTAGGCGGGTTTGGAGAACCCTCTGCCTAAATTCACTATGTTCAATTACCCACCAGAGATTCTGGTCAGTCAAAATGACTATTTTGAACTGTAGGCAGAGTCAGAGTCAGCCGATAGGTGGTATGCTTGGAGCGAACAACACAACCGACAAATCCCAGTTGGGCGGTTACCTTGTGCGGGGTGTCGGCCTTTGATTATGGAAAGCAGTAAATAGTCTCCCAATAATAGGACAATCGGCTAGTCTTGTTCCCAAATCATTCACAATGGTGGGGGACAAGATCGACCTGTAGCCAACGATCGCTGCGTAGGACAAACCCACTTCGTCAAACAGGTGGATGAAAGAGTCAGCTACCAATAGAGAGATAGTATGGATCAATCTCCCTTCTGCTACACCAACTGGTGTATGCTCGCCACCTGGAATTGTAGGCAGCGTTTGGTGGAATCCCTGTTCGCCCTGGCCAGGACGCTGGCAGCACGCTCAGATAAACCTTTCGTCTGTGCGAGTCTACTAAGAGTCTCTATGTGTCCATGTACACATATATGTGGGTCCACTGGATCAGCAAAGAAACCCTGGCCCAGGCTCCTGGAGTATTGCGTATGTCGGGAGCTTGGCGTCCTGAGGTGTGGCAAACCGGTCTATTTTTTTACCGTCCCACAGCCAAACAGCCTGGAGGTTACCCACTGGGGTATCTGCCACTCCGCATTTTGGAGACAAAGCCGCCTCGAAAGGGCGTCTGTCAGACTGTTCCTCACCCCTGGAAGGTGGTGTGCGGTTAGCTCCACATTGTATTCCAGGCACCCAAGGAGAATTTGCTCTGCTAGGACTGACAATGAAGGGAAACACGCCCCCTCCTTGTTGAAGGAGCCCACCGCTGTGTTGTCTGTGCGGAGCAGGACTTTGTTGTCTTGAACTTCGGGTAGAAGGCGTAGTAGAGCTAAGTGTACTGCTTTCAGCTCGAGCCAGTTGATATGGTGGTCCTGAACCCAATGCAAGGGCCATATTCCTTGGGCTTGTTTGTCCAATAGATGTGCTCCCTAACTTTGGAGGGAGGCATCTGTTACCAGAGTCATAGCTGTGGCGAGTGGGTTCAAAGGGACCCCCTGTCTGAGGTTGGCAAGTGAAGACCACCAGAGCAGGGCTTCCTTTGCTTAGTCTGAGCTCAATACCCGCCTGTCTAGTCCCCGTAGGTGAGCTCGGTGTTGTAACCACAAACGTTGTACCAGGCGGCTGCGTAATGCGGCCTGGAGAACTACCCTTCAAACCGAGGTCATCATACCGATGATCCGCATTAGTTCTCTAAGGGAAACAGAGGGAACGCTGACTAGACATTCTGCTAACCAAGCCTACTTCTGTATCGAACTCCATGCCCAGAAACACCAACTGTTGTGTCGGGTAGGGACTTTGTCTGATTTACTAAGAGCCCAACTGGTGAAGTAAATCCTGCGTAAGCCTTACTTGCTTGGCTAATAACCCCTTGTTTGGGTTATGTAATAACCAGTCGTCTAGGGTACCGATGTTTGGTGAAGCAGCAACAGCACCTGTTCCATCCATTCTGGTGAAATGTAGGGGGCTGTGCATAACCCGAAGGAGGGGGCACCCGAGATTCAAATACTTGGCCCAGCTGGGCGATTCAAAGAAGATGGCAACACGCCGGGTGCATCGGTATGTGCAGGTATGGTCCGCTTAAGTCTAGGGAGGCTAGCCAGTCGAAATGGTGGATGGGCAGAAAACGCTGTATGGCGTCTCCATGTGGAGCCAATCGAGGAGCATGTACTGATTCAGTCTGCCTAAGTCCAGAACTGGACACTCGCCATCTGTAGATTTGTTACTACGAACACATTTGAGTAGAAGCCAGGACTTAATGCCGACTGATTGTGTATGGCGCCCTTTTCCAGCAAACAGTCTACTTCCTGTCTGATTCCTCCCAATGGGGGAGACACTGACGAGGAGATGGAGATTTCGGCGGTATCCTGTAACTGTGTGTCACCACCTGGAAAGTCCAGGGATCGGTCACCTGCTGACTCCAAACCAGACTACACCAATGCAATCTGTGTGTGACAGGATATGTGACCATGGGTTCGGCAGTTGCGAAGTGGGTGCTCTCTTCTCCCATGAAGTGAGTTTCCCCAAGGCCTGAAGTAGTCACTAAGGTGTGACCTGGCCACTCGCCGAACACATGTCTGTCCCCCCGGTTGCAGAGGTAAGCGTCAAACATGCTTCCCCCACTGCCGAGGTGGACGACCACCCGAGGAGGATGAGGAGCCACCACCTGGTCCCTTCTTTCCTGGGGGCACACCGCTACTTTTCCCTCCCATGGAAGGGTATGAGCGCTCGCCTCCTGGCTGACTCTGGCTAGCGGACATCGCCTTAGAGCATTCTGTTTTCTGAGCTTGAGGCGCCCTCTGTTTACCCTTGGCAGTGGCCAACTGGCTAGCGGATTTGACCTGAAACATCTGATTCGTTGCACTCCGAAGCCCCGGGACTACACTAACCATCTCCCCATCAAAGAGGCTGGAAGATGTCCAGTCTGTGTAACTGAGATGGTGACGTACTCCCTGACTTAGTTCGCCGGCGAAAACACAAGCGTCTAGCCCCAGCCAGGAGAGGCAGGTGATACTGGAGGATATCGCACATAGCTGTGCCATGGCCCACCAGTAAATGTGTCACCTGGTCTAGGAGGCTGGTGCGTTCTGTCTCCGAGGACTCAGAGACCTGTTCGCGTACAATAATGCGCTCCAGCGCCTCTGCCCTCAGGGCGTGATGGGTCGTCTCAGGCTGAGCTGGCGAGAACACCCATAGAACATGGTCGTCCCCTTTACCCAGTTTGCCAAATCGAAATTTGTTGTACCGGGGTCTGGGGAAGGAGCCTTGGGATCCGGTTGGGGGTGTTTGGTCTCATCCCACACTTTGAGGTCTGATCATGAAACCACACCAACCGGGTAGGTAGCGTTTCGTCCAGTGTAGCGTTTGGGTAATGTTGGAAAGACCTCCAGGGGCACAGCCTCGCCGTTGCCGGTAAAATCGAGTAAACCACTGCCTGAAAAAAACAGACTGTGAGGATGCCCTCCGATCAACGGGGGGAGACTGAAAAATATTAGTACCTCCACCATTGGGCCTCTTACTCAACGTCTCAGTATAGGTCTCGGTCATGTGGTTAGTGACGTAAGGGAAAAAAATCTTGGGGTCATGGGGCATCCCCTGCCCTAGATTTTATCTCTCCGTCATTGGCAGAATCGCTGATTAATGCCTACAGTTCAAAATAGTCATTTTGACTGACTGGAGTGGTGGGTAATTGAACGTAGTCAAAACTATCACTTTTTACTAAAAATGACAAAAATATTCACCAAATATATAAATTAACGATATTTACATGAAATGAGCAAATCTAAGAGAGGTCTGCAATGGTACATATCACTTTTTACCAAAAATGACAAAAATATTCACCAAAATTAGAGAATTAAAGATATCATTACAAAATGAACAAATCTGAGAGAGGTCCACATGTAGTACCTATATATGTAATATCAAAGCAATTGCACTTGCGGTTTTTAACAAGAAGTCGAAAATATCACTTTTAACCAAAAATTACAAAAATATTCACCAAAATTAGATAAGAGAATTAAAGATATCATTACAAAATGAACAAATCTGAGAGAGGTCCACATGTAGTACCTATACATGAAATATCAAAGCAATTGCACTTGCGGTTTTTAACAAGAAGTCGAAAATATCAGTTTTTACCAAAAATGACAAAAATATTCACCAAAATTAGAGAATTAAAGATATCAACATGAAATGAACAAACCTAAGAGAGGTCTACCCAAGGTACATATACACCAAGTATCAAAGCAATCAGGTTTGTAGTTTTCAAGAAGAAGTCGAAAAAGTAAAATATTGATGAAAGACGATGGACGCCGACGGACAATCACTCATATGATGAGCTTTGCTTGACAAAATCGACAGTGGAGCTAAAAAAATGTTTTAAAAATTACTTTTTGAAAATGGTATTCTCTGGTATTGAAACAGTTACAGATGTGGCTTGCTAATTTCATTATCGATTGACTGTTATTATTTGTTAGCATTGTAACCAACTTTTTTCCTTTAACATTTGAGTCATCGCATTTTCATACAACTTTGCATTCAACCAGGAAGTGCATCTCATCTTCAACCTCATTTTGGTTACAGACAGACCACTGTTGGGTATTTTTTTTTTGTATCACCCTTTTATTATTTCTAAATTCTGTGCACTTATTCTTAACTTTATAAATGCTGCTCTATGTTTTGCATTTGTTATTGTTGATAAATACTGGCAATTCTTCTTCAGCATGTACATATGTATGCAAATAACACCGAATAAACAGCAAGTTAAATACTACGTCAAATCACAGTAAACATGTACTGCATGTGTGACTCAAACCGGCGCTTGCATACTGCACCTAATCGCCTAGCTTCACGTCACTACACGTCTTCCCCTCGGCCACCTTCAAAAAAGGATGCTTAATAACCAAACTTATTACATGCAGAGAGCATGAAAACCCGTCCATACGATCTGTGTCACACACATAGTATTTAAAATGAAAATGAAAAGGGACTCATATTCATAGGAGAAAGATAATTCAACATCCAATTTTTCCTAAGGGTCATGTAGTTTTGACAGTAATCATTACCACAGTTAGATGCATTCTAATATCATATTAGACCCGAACCCCAACATGGTTACATGTATTTCCAAGTTTGAAACATATTGAACAAGTAATTGCATTACATAGTCCCCATACTTCTCACGTTTAAT